ATATATATATATTTGTTGTTATTGTTGCTGTTATTGTTAAGTACCATGGGGTCGGTTCCGACTCATAGTGACCCTGCACAGAGTTTCCAAGGTTGTAAATCTCTACGGGAGCAGAAAGCCTCATCTTTCTTCTGGAGAACCGCTGGTAGTTTCGAACCGCTGACCTTGAGATTAGCAGCCCGATCTGTAACCACCACGCTACCAGTGCTTATCCTACAGATCCACACTAGGACTCAGTTTTAGTATATAGCAAAACTGAGTATCATTAACTTTAGTAAGTATAATATTTTTTCCCCCTATTTATTGCACACTGATATAAGTCAGGTATTTATATACATTATTTCACTTGTTTTTCTAAGTGACCGTGAAACTGAAGCATGTGATGTAATTTTCCAGATTAGTCAATTATATGAAGAAATTCACTTCTCTTTGTCAGTGAAATTCACATTCATTGTCAATGATGTGTAATTATGTTCTAAACTCAGATCTGTCTGACTGCACAGTTTATGCATTTTTCCATTTTACTAAACAAACGATTTCTCTTTCTATTTATGCATTCTTAATAATTTTGACTCAACCCCAACAAAATAGTAACAACTCATCCCCTACTAAAATAATCTAATTCTGAGTGTCAATTACATGTAAAATAGAGATAAGACAAACTGTTGTTTAGTGCCATCAAGTTGATTGTGACTCAGAGTAACCCTGCATAAGTTTTCCCAGGAGCCACTGGTGGGTTTGAACTATTGACCTTATGTTAGCAATCCATTGCTCACCGTACAGGTTACAAATATTATGCTTATATATTTCTTATTAGTTCCTCTATTTAAATTTTTTTTTTAAAACACACTTATCCATAATGCTAACTGTAGGTTAGTACATGTCCATGAAATATATGACTGAAATCTTCATAAAAGATAGAGTAAACATTCTCTCTCTGTTTTTGATTTGAAAAACTATTGCTGAGAGCAACAAAATTTTATTAAAATTCTTTTGCCTGTAGATACATTATCTTCTTTTTAAAAAGTCTAATTCCTCTCTAAGGTTGTTTGTTAAAGCTATCCAATTTGCTATTATTTTATCAAATTGTTCTAGGCTCTATCCCAGAGGATACAAAAGCTATAAAGAGCTGACACAGTATTATTCTATTTGAGATAAAAACACATTTATTTATGCTAATTTCTAGATTTCATTTATCAAATTTAGAAATCATTTTAGAGCAAAGAGTGTTCCTGTCTTAGTTGTCTAGTTATGTCAAGACATTTTTATTGCTGATAACAACTTATTTCTTAATGTCAAACCAATCTGAATGTAAGGATTAAAAAAAGTTTCAAGAAGTCAATGGGTTATAATTGAATATGGTGTTAACGCACAACCAATTCCATTAGAGCATTTAGCTTGTTAAGTGCCATCAAGTCAGTTCTGATTAAAAGTGACCTTGTACAGTGTTTATGAGAACCAGCTGATGGGGTCCAATTGCCGACCTTATGGTTTGCACTCCAGTACTGATCCTATAGTACCACCCCAGCTTGTTGTTGCTGTTAAGTGCCGTCAAGTTGGTTCCGACCCATAGCGACCATGTATACTAGGGTTTCTGAGGACACCAGCTTAGTGAGGCTTTCATAGAGGCACTGTTTAGAAATACTTCGACACTCCTTAAATGTGTGTTATACTTTTCTAATATGTTGTTGGACAGGCCAATTAATTTGAGATGTTTATTACTGTGAAAATTCCTGGCTTTGTATAGGGCTTTCTAGTGACACCTCTTTAGAATCCTGAGTTTTTTTTCAAGTCCATAATTTTAAATGTAGATATAATTGAGAAATATTCATAAAGTATTTTTGTCATAAAAATTTTTGTGTGCCATCAAGAGATTGTTAAGTGCCATTGAGTAGGTTCAACTCATAGCTACCCTGTATAGGGTTTCTGAGGATCAGCTGGTGGGTTTGAACTATTGACCTTGTGGTTTTCAGTCCAGTGCTGATCTTACAATGCTACAACAGGATAAGAGGAAAATAAATCACACTTAGTGACAGTGGATAAAGTTACATCTTTTATTCCTTTATGTTGTTCTAATAGTCCACAATGAGAACTCACTAGTTCTCATTGCAATAATATGTACTTACATATATATATATATATGTATATAAATAAAGTTTCATGATTAATTTCATTGCTCATTTTCTCTGAACTTTATATTGATCTGTGGAAACAAATATACTTAATAAAATACTTACTTAGCGCATACAGCCACTTGGAATTCATCATCTGAAATAATTACTGTTTTGGGTGCATTGATTGTAATTTCAAACTTGGGCAAAACTAGAAACAAAGAAAAATATGCTTACTTCAGTCCTGACAATGACTAGTCAACAAAATTTAATTGAATTCATATAGTTAAGCATGCATACTTCCACACACAATATTTTTCTATATATACATCTGTGTAGGTCAAGTTTCAATTGGCCAAAATTCTTTGTGATACAGGTCTACTACAGTACCTAATGGGTTTTCATTAAAGATTAAGTTTTTCCTTTACCTGCTCTCAAAATTTCCCATTTAGAATCTTCCTGAAAGATAGTCTGCACTCTATAAAAATCAACTTTTCTTAGGACTTAAAAGCAGGGATTAGAATAAAAATACCTGCCACGCATCAAGAATAGAAAAGGAATGATGATAAAGCTAAGTCTAGCATCAAAAGTGTTTTGTTCAATCCTCTGGACTTTTTATGTATATAGGACAGTCATAAGTAGCATAAAGAGCAATTAATTACCAGATTTATTAACAGTAAATAGGTGCACCACTGTCTTTCCTGAGTTTTGTTCCACAGTAATTGAATAATCTCCCAATATTGGTTCTGAAATCAGCTGGAATGAAAGCTGGGTAATATTTTGAGAAGTTACATTTTGCCATTGGAAAATCCTATTGCTTTGAGGATCCTAGAAAATAAAGATGAAAACCAATCAGAGGTTGCATGAAGAATACTGCCCTTCCTTCTTCATTGTAGATCTTGTATGTGGCTAATGGAAATTTAAAAGGCCCTAACATTTACTTGAACCATTTATGTCTCATTGGAAAAATAGCGTAACTTCTTCAAGATACGCAAACTCAATTTGATAGCATATCTTAAGCCTAAAGGATAAGAAAAATAATTGAGACTAATATTTTGATTTTACATCTTCCTGAACCAGAATTGCTTAATGAAAGAATTAAAAACTCGTTGTAACTACTCTGAAATAGTGCTTGCCAAAGAGGGTGGACACATACCAAGAGGCGCAGACACTTACCCACTACCACTCTGTCGATTCTGACTCAGAGCAATTGAGTAGACTCATAGGACAGAATAAAACTCTCCTTGGGGGTTCTGAGATTGTTCATGAGGGGAAGGACAGGTTTTCACTTGGTCTTTGTGTAAGTTAGCTGTGTGACATACTGCTTACAGAAGTTGCTGAATGGACGTTCCATAGTAAGATGGGGTTGTCAATGGCACCCCTCCCTTTTATTTAATTTTAGTATACGGAATTTAATTGCAATTTATATGAGCTTGGTTTCAACTATCCCTTACTTCAGTTATTTTAATTTATTAATATGCATAGTGAAAATTAGCTACATCATTATCTATATGAAAAGTTTAAATAATAAGTTTGAAAAAGCAGAAATCTTACCTGCAATGTGATTAAAGGATACTGAAAGAGGGAGAAAAAAAATGAAGGTTAATACTCGAATAATATATACTTGTTTTTTTTTTTTTTTTGCCAAACATTGCATTATAAAGATTATATGACTTCTTAAGTGTTGAAATGTAGCTCTCACTTTCTCAAAGGGCAAGGTTTTTGTATAGAAAAACACCAAGAAAATTCGAAATGTGACAGAGATCTCAAATCTCATCCAGGATGTGGAAAGCAGGTTCCTTGCAACCCATTTTTTCCACATATGATAAAAAGACCAAATGATGTATAAACCAACATACTATAAATGAAAAATTTGCACTTGAATTTGAAATATAGTATTCAGTTATACCCATACAGTACTCCTTGTTAGAACCTATCCCCATACTTTTGGTGAATTCCTGAAGACACTTTGTATAGAAATGGATTTGCTTAATTAATTTGTTTAAGTTGTACCATACCATTAGAAACCATTGAGCTCACCGTTTCTGCAACAGGTTTGAACTTAGTATCCAACGTCACAATACGAAATTTTACTAAAAAACAAAGAAGAGGAGGGGACAATAGTTTTCACTTATTTCTCTTCCTCAGATATGATTGTATATATGTAGATAATGAAATTGTCTTGCCATCATATAGCATGACCCTTCCTTTTCCTCTTTCTTTAATTAGGTCCTTTGGGGTTTGGGTTCCATATGTAAAGATCTCTTTTGCACAGTTATTTCTTTGTTGATGATGTTATGTTGCTACCAGAGTTGATGCTGGAAAACTTTACCCAATAACCAGAGGACTATTAAGAATTGGTGGCAGAGTTAGTCAAAGAAATACAAACTGAAATATGTGTGGTAGGAAATAAACATAATTTTCCTTGGAAAATATATTTGTGTTAGCAAATAGTACACTAATTTGAGCAGAATTCCACAAGAAACTTTGTATTTATAGCTGTCATTTTAGCATTTTAATAAAGAGAAAGATGAAAGAATATAATGCAGGTGAGATCTCCCTAAGAATTCTACTCTTATTGATGGAACTCCCTAGTCAGGTCTAGAACTGAACTCAGCTCTGTGGATCAATTTTAGCTAAACAATAAACAGGTCAACAAGGGGAATAGCAACACTGGGGAGGTATGCACTTCTTAGAATAAATAACAATTTTAAGTCAAAAGGGCAGCATTTAAATGGGAAACCCAGGAAGACAGAGGGATAAGTGCTTGTAATCAATTCCTTGAAACAAAATGTGAATGAATTGTAGAAAGAAAACTGATTTGCTCTGTACAATTTTACACAACTCACAATAGAAAGCTTTTATAAAAAAAATTCTACTCATTTAATTTCTTTTTGACAAATCATAGAATTATAAAATAAAAGTCAGAATAAACTGCAAAGGTGCTCTGATACAAGTTTCTCATTTTACAAATGAGGATACTAAATTAGAAAGATCAGAATTTTAGACAAATATCTGTAATTTATATAATTTTGACTAAGGTCTATAATTTATTAATAGAGCCAGGACCCAAAGCAAATACTTCTAAAGCTTAGCTTCGTACTCTTTCTGCTACCTTCTACATATAGCAATAATAAACATTATAGAATAACTCTGTCTGTGCTTGCAACCATTGTATGATGTAAACTTGTTACTCGAATTTGAAAACAGTGAATGTGGCATGTAAAACTTTCAGAAGCATTCAGTTCATACTTATAGGGATCCAAGATCCAATAACATTAGATGCAAATTTAAAGCTACAATTCATCTGTTTGGATTGCTCTGAATTCAGTAAGTGTTCTTCTATGGTCAGTTTTATAAAGGTAACAAGAATATTGGCTCACCATTTTCTCCAGGCTTATAGATAGGTTTATCTGTTTGTACAAAGGAGACAGCCTCCTCTGAAGTGATGGCTACAGATCTCCTCTCAAACATTTCCAGAGTACTCCCCTTAGCCAGCAATGTCACAAAAGCCAATTGTTCCGAGGATTTCTGAGAGACCTGTTTATGTAGGAGAACAGAGAATGCAAAGTCATCACTTTTGTATGTTAAGAAGATAAAAAATGTCTAAATTTGTCTTCTCAAACTCATTACTTAAGAGACAGGAATTACTTGTTATAATTCTTTCTTTTATTTAGCATGAGAACAGTTCCTCATAAATTTCTTTTTATGTCTCCTCATTTCTTTGCTGTTCTCCATTTCAATTCTACATCTCTTTCCCCAGATTCTCTCTCCTCGCATTGTGAGATATTTCTATTATCTCAAAAGTGCCAATTATGTCTTGCTGTCACTCCCTATACTGGAGGAATTGCAATGTCTTATAATTTTTGCTGTATGTGTGTAATTTCCATTTATTATTTTTATCCTTAGATTTCACAATTTATCAAAAATCAAGATTCATTATTTTTCTAAAAATAAATTTTAAACAATAATTTCATCTTCCCTTCTGAAGTTCTGAAAGGACATGTTCAGCACCTCACCTTGAAATTTGCACAAGCATGGAAATGGTTGTCCTCCACAGACTGGTCAAAAACAGTGGCATTGACTCCGTCATATTCTAAGACAACACTCAAGGATACAGATTCATTAAGGTTTAAAAGGTGGACACAAGCTTTTTCTGTAGAATGGCTCTTGATCACAGAAGAGATCCATAGGATATATTGCCTATGTAAAATAATAATAATAATAATAACCAACATTCTAAGACAGTATAGGAGAAATGAGTATCTATGGACAATATATTTTAACTTTCTGAAATATTCTGAAACATACACATTTTTCATAGAAAGGATTATAAGACATTTGGGAATGCAGAAAGATATATCTTAAGAAAAAGGTGTCAATTTCCTTTGTATATTTGTTTGAAAATTATAAGGCAAATCATACTCAAGTTTCAGAAGTTGAAATGGTAAAATATCATCCAGTCCTCACAAAGAACATCAAATAAGGCCACTTTGCTAGTACTTTAATAAAAATAAGGAGAATAATAGTCCCTTACGGTTCTGAAGTCACAGCAGCAATGAAATGTAGCAAAAATGTGCTCAGAAAAATGGTGAGCACCATTCTATCCCAGTGTTTGTACAATGCAGACTTCAAAATAAGTATATCCTCTCTCTATTAATGGAAATCAAACCTCCACTTTCTTTTCTTTCTTCTGCTCAGCCTTTCTCTGTATATTGTTGCTTTTATAGTCAACACATAGCAGAGGATTCATTACTTTTTGGAGCAAATCTTTAGAACCCACCAATCACATTTAGATTACCGCCCCATTACCTCTGCAGGGGGTGTTCCTTAATATACAACTTCCTACTCAAGTTCACTGGACGCTACTGTGTTTTGGAGTCAGTAGCACAGTTTGGACAGGGATAAAAGAAAAACAAAGAAAGTAGTTGTGTGACACTTAAGATTTTATTTAACCAACCCATTCTGTTTGACGTATCAACTCACTCATAGGTCTGAAGTTAGTATCAATGGCAATAATACAAAAATGCTTCTTTAAAGAGCTGCTAGCATTCTGTTTTCCTATAAAT